ATGACCCCCGGGCGTACGGATTGGGTAATTAATCAACAAGACGAATAGCATGAAAACAAATCAAACAAAAGCACCTCTTCGCTGCTAAGCAGAGGTCTGTTCTGGCTTGTATTCTCCACTTATTGTTTCATCTGGTTGACGAAATAAGTTTTATTTATACAGTTACAGCTGGTGGTTTTTCTTATTTTGAAACAATTCTCTGTGTTTGAATATTCCTTGAATTAACATTTTATCTTGTCAGTACAGATGTTGAAGGAAACTTTTCAGCAGTGAAGAGGTTAAAAAACCAAGCTGTGGAGATGGGAACCAATGCAAGCGGCGGAGACAGATGCCATCTTCACGGAGTAGAGCAGTAGAAGGACATTGGAAAGGTTCGTTGACCTAAATGGAGCAACAACAAAAACGCAGTATCTATTCAGAGACGGCTCCGACGGAAGTAGACCAATCAAAATGCTTTGTGCCTCGAGACCAAGTAAAAACAAATCTGGGGGGTTACGGGGGGACATCCCCCACCCCCCTGTTTTATCCCATAGTTCGATATTTTGCAGTTAAGTTTGAAATTTTCTTGACAATAATTGATATGCGAATGTTTTAGTGGCTATATGTGGGATCTGCAGCCAATAATGCACAGTTTGACCCCCCAAAGCAGTACATCTATGTGCGGGAGATGGTCTCTGAACAGCTCCTGGCTGCTCGCTAGAGACGTCTCCGAATATTTTCTGCCCCAAAAAAGTCCGTTATAAAGAAATTACAGCGGTCAAGTACAGCTGTTGTTTGGTCTATCTACGTTATACGAGGATACAGAGTACATAATGTATCATCCATATCAACATAAAAGTTGCTTGCGTTGCTATTCAGTCGCCCTCCAGAAGTGTCCAGGTGCTTTAAAAAGAACCCCCCCCCCCCCCCCCCCCCCCCCAAGGATTTTTTCGAATGATATATTGACAAGGGAACAAACTCTAGAAAAGCGACTTCCGTATCAGGTATTATACGAGTTATTTCCCATTGCAATGTGCCGATTTATTTTTTTTAAATCTTTTTTACTTCGTCAAAAGGTTAAGAGATTTGCTTGAGTTGTCACACAGATAAAAGATTCTTTTGTCGCCTGTCGCGGTCTCCCTCCTGTTAAAAAAATGTAATCGCCTTTCCCTCGTGATTTTATGGTTACCCACTTGTTGGCCCCGTGGAGAAGAAAGACCCTGGGGGGGAGGGGGTCTCGTGGCTTAGAGGTTAAGGTGTTCGCCTCTCATTCATAGGTGCGCGGGTTCGAATCCGGGTAGCGACCGAAACATTTTCTTCTCTAAAGTGTCTCCTTTCACCTCCTTTCCTGCTCTCTGTCGTCTGCTTTCGATTCCTTTCAGCCCCCATCCCCTTTACTCATCTCCTTTGACATTTCATAAGTTTTGCACAAGGTACGGACAGAAAGCTGAAGTGACCTCATTTAGAAAAGGACTTTCATTGGTGCCATCGGTGGATAGGTTCCGTCTGTTTGGATCTATAAAGAATCAGAAGTAAAAATTCCCAAACAAAACGACGGCTGCAAAGCAACTAGGATTTTCCTTCACCCAATGGCCTGCATTCCCCGAGCAGATCTTAACCCACGACTGAGGTGTCATTTCATGTTCGCGAGGCAGACATGGATCAAAGCACAGTATAGTAATGTGTTCATGGACCCTCGATCGTCTTAAAAAGCTTGATTTGGTTCGCTGCGGTTCACTGGCAAAGCCCATTGTCATGTTTGAGGATATGTAAAAGTAAAGTTGTTCACGCTTCCGATCCAGACATTGGGGATTGCCTTGTTAGTGAGACAACTTCATGGGCCTTCGGCATATTGTGGTAGGGTGGCCAGTTCCTTTCCCCATTAGGATATGCAAACTCCAAAAAATGTTGTGCATTGCTCATCCTCCCCTCCCTCTCCCTCTCCCCCTCCCCCGAAAAAATGTGCTCATTGTGTGTATGGGTGTGTTTTTTTTAAGCCACTTCCGTTTTCAAAATGAGTTTCTTCTTTAAGGATTTCGTATCAAACAAATTCCTTTTAAATAAATTACGTCTGTTCCAAATTACGACCTTTTGGAACAATTCTTAAGCGAGATATTACGAAAAAAGTTGTAAAGTTGTTGTTTTTCTTTTTTGTTTTTTGTTGTTTTTTTGTGGGGGTGGGGTGGTTGGGGGGGGGGTGTTATCACCTTCGACGATTCAGTTCAAGAAACCGGTACGCCACATTTTTCTAAAACCAATTTGTCTGTGCGCCCAGAGAAAGGTACCAAAAGTCGCCCCAGACCGTTTCCAGCTACAGGCTGATCATGACAAAAATCACTTTTTTGACCAAAATGTGTTTCCATTTTAAAAAAATGATAGACCCAACATTTTTTTACAACGTACTCAAAGGGTTTTCATTAATTTGATTTCTAAATGTTTTAATTTGAATTATTTTGAGGGAACGGTAAAATAAAAACAAAGAATGAAAACTGCTTTTAAAAGGTGTTAAAATCTATTGTTGAAGCACGTTTTCTCTTCCCGGCTGTTTCACCATTGGATTCCATTCATGATGTCGATGTCAACTGAATGTTAAACTGGAAATGAATTTTTCATGAATAAATACATTTTAAAAATCTTTTCTTGTTTTTTTGTTGTTTTTTTGTTGTTGTTGTTTGTTGTTGTTTGTTTTTTTTTGGGGGGGGTAAGTCTGTATGTGTTATCACGTTTGTTAAACTTAAAAGCTCATTTTCTCAAAATTATATTTTTATACCCTACCTCACAAAATGTGCAATATCTCAAAAAGTACTTGAGATATCAAAAACAAATCAAAACCCCTGAGTTCAGCATCGAATTTGCTATAAGGTACAACCCTTAACTCAAAATTGTCAAAATCCGACTTTTGGTACCTGTCTTTAGGCACACATACATTTCTTTGCTTGTCCGTGGCCACAAATCTTCCTCCGTCACCTTAACCTCTAGACCTCTAGGCCACGAGAGCCCCCCACATTGGAATTATGTGACATCCTCATCTGCACTTTGCTGTTGAGGGAAGAATTCTCTCACCCACCGGGTAGCCCACCACTAAAATTGGACTCATAGCTGAGAGTTATAATTTTGTTGACGCCACGATTCGTCCAGTGATCATTTCGTTGGACATGTTGAAGCATTGGGGGCTCTCGTGGTCTAGAGGTTAAGGTGTTGGCCTCTCAATGAAAGGTCCCGGGTTCGAATCCGGGAAGGGACCAAAAAACTTTTCTCTAAAAAAATCTCCTTTTACTTCCTTTCCTGCTCTGTAGCAATGTTCTGTCGTCTGCTTTCGTCTCCTCTTTCTGCCCCCACCCCCTCACCTCCTTTGCCCCCTCCTCTGGGCTCTCGACTCTTTCTGCAGCCTTTCTACTCCTTGGCTTCTTCTTACTGCTGTCTTTCAGCCACACTCCCTGATTTTCTGGTAGAAAAGATCTACACATAACCTTCTCGGGCAAGGGCGAAAAATCTCGGAGGGCCTATGTGCAAGTTGCGCACGTTAAAGATCCCTTAGTGGTCTAAAATCGATAAGAGTAGGCTTCGGCCGGCATTCGGGCAAAATTTGAAATTTCCCACCAACTGTAAATGCTTGGTGTGTCCCGTGCATTTCATATAAGAAGCAGAACCACCACCAAAACTACCAAACGTCCTCGTGCTCCGCAGTCATCCCCAGCTGGTCCAAGGATGCGTTGTGGTTATTGGCTGCCAACCAAGGAGTTCACACAGTAAGGTACTTGCAGCTAACCCATACCTAGAGGCAGTCCACTACCCACAGTAATAATAATAATAAATAGCATTTGTATAGCGCATATCCCCGCTCAACAGCAGGCTCAATGCGCTTTACACTACATTATTACCCCAGCAGACCGTAGAACACTCCGAAACATTCTCAGCTTCCCGGGAAGCATACAGTGCAAGCAGCTGATTAAGCGCTCAAAAACTAACAAACTGACAAGATCTTTCACTGTCTATAGCCGGGTACCCATTCCCACCTGGGTGAAGTGAGGAAATTTCGTGTAAAGTGCCTTTCCCAAGGACAAAACGTCGGGCCCCTGACGGGATTCGAACCCACGACCTTACGGTTACGAGTCCGAGAGCCTAACCAATAGGCCACCGACGTCACAGTGTGGTGGAGGTGGTCGCACCAGCTTTGCGCAATTGCATCATGAATTATAGTATGTGGATATAGTATGTATATACAGGCAAGTTTGATGGAAAGAGAGGCAGAGGCAGACAGAGTTTGATGGAAAGAGAGGCAGAGGCAGACAGAGGGAAAAGAATCTAGACAATAATGACAACATGGCTAGGAGCAGCAAGAACCACAAACACCATTGCTGCAACGCAAGACAGAGTGAAGTGGAGGTCCATGATCGCCCACGCCAGTCGGCAAGGCACCGAATGATGATGATGATATATATACATAATGATTATATGTGTATATAAATATATGAAATATACATATATATGATTTTTAAAATATATATATAATATAAATATATATAAACGATATATACATATAATACATTTATACAATATTATACATATATAAATATATATATATATAAATATATGTGTGTGTGTGTATGTGTGGGTGTATGTGTTCTGAATATGAGTTTGTGAGCTTCTGTGGTGGTTATACATATATATATCATATATATATATGATGTGACGCACCACCAATCCCGTGTCGACAAACCTGTCCTAGAAATCTCCCCCACCATTCGCAAGTCAGAAAGGTATGAAATTCTTCTGCAGGACAGAAGGCAGTACTCTACTTAACCTTTCTAGCGAGACAGAAGTGAAAGGGGCGGGGGGGGGGGGGTGTACGGGTTGGTGTGGTGCGGTAGGTGAGTGGGCGGGCGGGGGGGGGGGGTCAGTAGTTGGGTCGGTAGTGGTGCGGTAGAGGGGTAGGGGTAGGGGTGAGGTTTCTAGGTCACATAGTTTGTCAACGCCATTGCTGGAGCGTCCCATCACCAGTAACACCTGCAGCAGCTTCGGTCATCGCTCAGGTAGAGCCGCCAAACTGACGGGTTCGTTCTGAACTTTCCGTCACTCGTCCTGTCTTCTTGCGGTGCACGGATCACAAAAATTATTAATATTATTGTTCTTGGAGGTCAAAGTGTTTGTGTTATTTCTGTGCGTGCCATAATGACGTCTGTACCGGGGTCCGACAGCAATGGCAAGGTGAGATAGATAGATAGATAGATAGATAGATAGATAGATAGATAGATAGATAGATAGATAGATAGATAGATAGATAGAAAAAAAACTATAAGACAGAATGAAAGTTAACTGTTTGTTTTGGTAAGTATTTTACGACGCTCTTAAACACTCATGAAATCGAAGATGAATTCCTCTTCATTTTTTGTTGTTGTCCAAATTGTGTTCTCCAAAAGAAATTGTTAATTCCTCACAGCCTGACTCGGCCCACTGACAGAAATAATCTTTGTTTGACCCATGATAAGAGATATGTGCGCAACCTACACTTTTTCATTATTATGGAAACTGTATTTAACAATTGGGTGGTTTATTTGATGCGATGTGAGCCAATGGCTTTAAATACTGAATAAACTTATTTACACATTACGACCCTCGCAACTGCGTAAGGCCATATGAGCTCGTGAAACACTTTGAACACTTTCAGTTTAGTGGGAATTTTGAATTTTGCCTGGGTGGCGGCCGAATCCTACACTTATCGATTTTGGACCACCAAGAGATCTTTAACGTGCTCAATTTGTATACAGGACCTCGAGATTTTTTCACTTCTCCGAGAAGGTTAGGCTAAGATCTTACCTTACATAAGATCAGGGGTGTGGCTGAAAGACAGCGGTGAGAAGGAGACAAGGAGCAGCAGTATAAAGGCTGCAGCAAGGGGCAGGAGCTCAGAGGAGGGGGCAAAGGGGGTGAGGGGGTGGGGGGGGCAGAAAGTGGAGAATAAAGCAGACGACAGAACATGGGCAGAGAGCAGGAGAGGAGGTGAAAGGAGAAATTGTCAGAGAAAGAAATTGTGCCGTCGCTGTCAGGTTTCGAACCCGTGACCTATTGAGTGAGAGGCGAATCAAAGAGGGTTTACAGTAAAACTCTTCTTGGCGAACACCGTAACCTCTAGACAACGAGATCCTCGTGATAGATAGATAGATAGATAGATAGATAGATAGATAGATAGATAGATAGATAGATAAATAGATAGATAGATAGATAGATAGATAGATAGATAGATCCAGCGAAGGTAGCGGAACTGTATCAAAAATAATAAAATGATTTAAAAGTTCAGCTTTCAGCGAACAAATTTTCGTTAAAAAACTCATGGTGAAAATTGTTCTTGGCTCTAATATCTAGAATCTAGTATTTTGACACACATAATCAGTTTTGCAAAGTTGTTGATTTCCGCTTTTTTAGGGCGGGCTGATTCATCGAAAGTTTCTTCACATAACTTTGTGAAAGGCTGATTTCTTTTTTGCTGTTTTCGGCTGTTGTTGTTGTTGTTTTGTTTTTTTGGTTTGATGTTGCTTGGGGGGGGGGGGGGCAGCGGCTGCAATTCGCCCGCACCAGATATATATATATATATATACGTAACGGTTGCGCTATTCGCCGCAGTGCACGAAAGGGTCGCTCAATCTATGGAGTATCTGGGGAATGGTGGTGGTTACACGCTGTCTCCTTTTCAACAAAAGTTGGCCTGCCAGACACGTCTGAAAGACCCACTCCCAACCAACCCCCAGCCCCCTGCCCCCCCCCCCCCCCCCCCCATCTACCCGCAACTGATCTACTTATAGATGTAATTTATGCCGCCCCCCCCCCCTTCCCCCTTCCTCTCCCTTTTTTCTCCTCAACTAACCGCAACTTCACCCGCCCCAAACCCCCTTATTGATGTTAAGTGTGTCAACATGGTGTTAAAGGGGGGGAGGGGGGGGAGGGGGTGTCTCACCTAAGGGCTAAACTCGTTATAACTGGGTTCAGCGACTCGAAACTTTGCACGCATGTACGTTATTACAACTGCGTTCCAGGGCAATTTTCATAAACCCTCTTTGCCCTTGGAGAGATGCTTAACCCTATCCGTACGTCGTGTTTTATTACCGTATCCATACGATGTGAGGAACTCTGTGCCACCACTTCCCAAAAAGGAAATTTACTCGTTAATCCGATCCGTACGTTTTGCATAGCAGTCTGTCAAAATGATTTTTTGAGATATACTGAAAGTGTCAAAGAGATCTTCGTACTAGAAGTATTTTGAAATGTGAAGAATACAACCCCGGGGTAACAAAATGACCCCAAGGCGTACAGATAGGGTTAACCCCCTCAGAGACTTAACAAACACTTTCAAGGCTAAACCAGTGCACTCAGGCTTATCATCAGCTTTATTGCGTGGGGAGAGGAGGTAGAGGATGGAGGGGAATAATCTGAGGCAAAGGTCACCCGTTGCAGAGTAGGCTACCCCCAAGGAGCTTAGAACTACTGTAAACTCCTTGGCTACCCCTTGACTGGCTGCACTGGCTGCACTGGCAGGTGACTTACGAAAATTACGGTGAAGTGAAGCATCATGGTCTGGATTCATCTTCCCTGGTTGTGTGTCCTGTATTCCAACTCTTTACCTCTCTGTTGAGATGTCGAGACTTGAACCTTTCCTTCGACACAAGAAGTCACCTGTTCTGGTGGTTAACCTTTATGCTTATTCAAACAAACAGCTGACATAATACGACTGTTGATTTTTAAAATGTTTTGAAATACCTACTTTTTTAAAAACCCTATCCGTACGTCCTGGGGTCAATTTATACCCCCGGGATTGTATTCTTCACATTTTAGAATACTTCTAGTACGAAGATCTCTTTGAAACTTTCAGTATTTCTCAAAAAATCATTTTGACAGACTGCTATGCAAAGAGTACAGAATTATTAACGAGTAAAATCACGTCGTATGGATACGATATTAAAACACGACGTAAAGATAGCGTTAATTGACAGGGCGGGTGTTTGGAGGGCGCCTCTGGAAGGTCCTACTTCTTTACTCACCCTCTGTTGTTTCTGTCTTTGTCTTACTGTTTCCCAGCACAAATGGCCGAACCCCCCGGGGCGGTGCCACTGACTGTAGTGTCTTTAGGCCATTCCCAAAGAGGGGACATTTCTCGTTCTAGTGCACAGTAGAATTGTAAATGGGCTGATTCATCAATGTCAGGATCATAACTGTGCCTGATCTACAACAGGGAACTGCTGCTTTTTCTTTCCTAATCCTTAATATTGTCATTTTTCCTCTACTTCTTTTGTATGTTTGTCACACTCTTGTGACCCACTATTTCCTGGGTGCCTTGACAGTCGAAGCAGACTTTGTGCTGTTGAAGCTAGAGAGGTGAGCAGAGTAAGTCTGATTCCCTTAAGGACTTCTCTTTTGACATCCACCCCTTGACGCTCATATGGCTGTATGCCGTTCCAGGCGCTGTAAAACCTTTACTAAAACTAAAAACAATATTCAACAAAGCTTTTTCTTTGACCTTTTGATGTCCAGTACCCTCTGTGACAGGACAATCTTGTCTTGTACATTCTCAAAGAAAAAGTCCGTCTTATTCTGTTTATGGTCTTATTGATAATCCCAATCCTAGTTGCCTATTGTCAGAAACGAATTGCCATCCCCGTCTTTTACAGGTAGCTCCGATGTGTTGCTGTATGCCCATCACTCCAGGACAAGTGGAACTTGAGGTGGACAGCTACAGGTAAACTCAGCCAGAAAGACCAGATTGTCACACTTCTGCAGCTAAGACTTTGACATTGTTTGCCTCTTAACTTAAGTCCACACAAACTTGAGAAGGGGGGGGGGGGTAAATTTCGAACCCACGTCGGTGGTGTAGCGTCTTGGCGCTTCGTTGTCGCCAAAGATCGTACACAACAAGATAGTTCACGCCTCTCTTTGAACCGATTAAAAAAGTGTCCTCAAAATTCGGTGGCGCCCTCTTCGAAAAAGTGCGGACTTTACTATGAGAGTTACCTTACTTGTATGAAAAACAAAAGTGAAACTAAAAAACTGTGCTATTCCTATTCTTCTTCTGGAGAAACGAAAGAGAGCTTCAAAACAAAGACCGCAGCGCCATCTGAACCAATGCGCGGACTTCTGCGGACACTTTTTTGGCTGAGTGAACCATCTTGATATGTACGATCTTTGTTGTCGCACACAGGAGATCCTGGTTCGATTCCCGAGTGGGGGGAACATCAAGTAATATCAAGTATCTCGATCTTTCTGCCGGGATGTATCCCTCTCAACCCGGGTTAGCCCTGACAAGCAGGGTCAGGAGCCCGCCTCCTAAAGGTTCTAAACTGTACGATGGGGTCGTATGTTGTTGTTGTTGTTGTTGTTGTTGTTGTTGTTGTTGTTGTTGTTGTTGTTGTTGCAATTTTTCAAATCCCTTTAGCTGCGAGCATTTCGCTCTGGGTAGCGAAATGCCTCCCTCAAAGGGGGTCATATAAACACCTACACGAAAAGAAAAGTTTTCTCTACAATATCTAGCCATGAGAGTTTATTTTAACGTCAAACAGCTTGTTCTGAATGGTGCATGGCCCTTCTGCTTCTTGTTGATAAACATGAGATACCTTTGAAAGCAAGTTCTGATCGTTTAAATGTTTCTTATTCTTCCATTAACCTGTGCGAAAACAAAATAAATATGATTATAACCAACATGTTGGAAAAGCCATGCACCCCAAAGTACATAGATCTAACAGATAACTCATGCTTTAGCGAGTACTTTCAAATGTCAGCTGAAGTCGTTTCTGTTTTTAAATTAATAAGATGAATATTTGGAGCGATTTTCTTTTAGTCAGAACACAACGTTTTATGTTACTGTTGTACGTTGTACTGTATTGTAAAGCGCTCAGAACCTGTGTACTTTAATCGGGGTTGAGCGCTATATAAAAGTCCTTTATTATTTATTATTATTATAGTATCTGTGACCCAGGTGTTGAGCATTTTACGGATATGTAAATATTATGTCATGAAAGAAGTTGCATGAAGACAGCATTGAGATCATCTTAAGCCACCAACATTTAAAACAACTCGATGAAAGTTATGAGAATGATTTTAAAAAAATGGATCCCCTTCAATACACTTCAGGTAGTCTCCTAAATAATTGGGGGTGGGGGGGGGAGGGAGCAAGGAAAATGGACCTGTAACATTGAAACGAAGCACATAGTAAAAGGGAAAGCCAGACACCCAAAGCTACATTTGGTCGTTTTTAAGCGCAAGGGGGCTATCCCGAAAAATGCTGTTTTGAGAGAATCGAAGGAAAGGTTTTGGCCCACTGTTCAATTTCTTTAAAAGACAAGGAGAGTTTTCTCTATAACCAAACAAATATACACACCAATGAAACCAAACTTCTCCTATAGGTAGGGCAATGCCCACTTTTGGTGTAGTTCAAGATTTGTGGAAACCCCCGAAATCTGGGTTAGCCCGCTTGTCCTTAAAAAACGACCATTTATTTGTTGTTAGTTAATTCAACTTCTCGCAGTTTCTATAAGTTTACTCAACGAATTAAGTACGGTCTTTCCTGTTGTTGTTGTTGTTGTTGTTATTTTATTTTTTATTTTTTTATTTTTTTTGGGGGGGGGAGGCTGGTTTTGTTTTGTCTTTTGTTTTATTTTATTTTGTTGTTTTGTTTTTGTTTTTCAGTGATAAGAAAGTGGAGCAGAGCTATGAGGAGAAAACGTCCGGAATGCAATATGGTATTTCGGACATCCCCCCTCCACACCTGTGCCTCCTGTTCGCTCTGCAGGTAGGACCTTAACCAACCAAGTTGACGTGATGACGTAGCATATCTTGTGTAGAGTAAAGTAAAGTCGTTCCCGCATCTGATCCGGACCTTGGGGATTGCCTTGTCAGTAAGACAACTTCCTGGGCCTTCAGCATATTGTGGTAGGGTGACCAGTTCCTTTCCACGCCGACTTTACTTCCCCAACTCGAAGTCAGGTACCCGTTACTGCTGGGTGGGCAGGAATGGGCGAAAAAAACCGTGTCCGTACTGAGGGTTGAACCCGGACTTTCCGCTTGTATTGTTGTATGCCCCAATAAACCCCACAAGGCTACCAGGATATTATAAAAGGCGGGAGTTGTGATTTTTATATCAGTTGCCGGTCTGACTGAGTCAAGTAGGTGATCTTATAAAACCCTCAAAGCAACTACAATTTAACAAGGCCCTTACCCACTTCACTGCCAGACTCCAAAGATAGTACATAACAAGATGGGCCACTCAGCCCAAAAAGTGTCCGCAGGAAGTTCGCTCTTTGCTTCAGATGGCGCTGCAGTCTGTTTTGAAGCTCTCTTTCGTTTTTCCAGAAGAAGAATAGGAATAGCACCTCCTTGCGTGCGCAGATCGACTGCTGTTCATCAGCAGTTCGGGTTCGTTCAGTGTGGGGTTTTAGGTTTTTTAAAATTTTAATGACCTCTCGCCTTTCATTCTAAAGTCAAATTAAACAAAGAAAACGATCACCCTTTCCTCCGGAAGAGGTTTTTTGTCAGTGTAACCATTTTAAAAAAGCGTTCTTCCGAAATTTATTCAAAAACTTGCTAGTTTCACTTTGTTGTTTTTTTAAACTCAAGTAGGGTAACTCTGTTCGCAACAGGTACGCTTTTGTGAAGAGGGCGCCACCGAATTTTGAGGACACTTTTGTAATTGGCTCAAAGAGAGGAGTGGCCCCTCTTGTTATGTAGACTCTTTGCACACTCGAGATGTGAGTTATGGAGCAAATCTAAGAGTAAAAGAGTTATGAGAAAAGAAAAGGATGGGAGAATAGGAAGGGGATATGGAGGTCGGGGGAATGGGGAGGCTGGGGGAATGGGGAGGCTTGGGGGATGGGGAGGCTGGGGGGATGGGGAGGCTGGGGGGATGGGGAGGCTGGGGGTGGGGAGGCTGGGGGGGATGGGGAGGCTGGGGGGATGGGGAGGCTGGGGTAAGGCCAGGGTGGGGGTCGGGTTGGATTGGGTATTGGGGAGGTATGAGGGGTATAGGAGGCGGGGGAGATTTGAGGGAAAGGGAGAGGGGTGAGGGTTTGGAGCAAGATATGAAGGGTGTATTTGTTCGGGATAAAGAGTATATCGCCGTCTTTCCACCTTCCCCCGCCCTTCCACAGACACAAAAGGACGTCAAGCCACATAGAATCACGTGCTATTTAATTTTTAAAAATAATAACAATATATATATGAAACACAGGAATTCGCTTCTGCTTTTAATCTAGCCAGAGAGCCCGAGACAGTGTCGGGCCGGGCGTAAAGGAATAACTAATTTACATCTTTACTATACATCTCTACTTCTCATTTCCTTTGGAGCATATTTCGTGGCCCAGAGGTTAAGGTTAAGGTGTCGGCCTCTCATTCAAAGGTCCCGGGTTCAAGTTCGGGTAGCGACCGAAAAATTTTATTCTCTAAAATTGTCTCCTTTTACTCCTTTCCTGTTCTCTAGCAATGTTCTGTTGTCTACTTTCGTCTCCTCTTTCTGCCCCCACCCCCTCACCTCCTTTGCCCCCTCACTTACCAAAAAAAAAGCATATCAAGGAAGTCACGCCAGAAGGAAGGGAAGTAGTACTTGGCCAATCTACTTCCTCTTTGTCCTCCACCCAAGCAAAGCTATTTCTGAATTTCATGCATACTGCTTTAAGATCGTCTGTCAAGACGCCAAAAAAACCATCAATAAGGAGTTCGAACCAAATTCCTTCATACCGTAGTCAGCGTGTATGAATGTCTATAAGAAGACGGATTTGTATTAATTTGTAGATTTCTTTTCGATAAATAATATTATTATACTCTTATACTCTGGAAACAATGATTGACGACAAAAGAAAAAAGGGGCTTGACTCATCATGCGTATGCCAAAGCTACACCGAGAAATGCTAAAACTACACTTATGACGCTGACACTGTGACCAGAAGTCAATGACTAACTAATTACCTTGGTCGTGTGTCCCGCTCGCTACAATAGAATGACAACGTTCTATCTGCTCAGGACCTCGTTTTGAGGAATTTGACGTGCAAAATGTTTTAGTTTCACAACAATTTCAAGCTTTTTCGAATGCAATTCTTTGAATATCTTGATAATGACTCCGAAAATGTAACAAATTTGCTTAGAGCCGATAGAGCATTGTATACATAATTGGTTTCTGACCTTAGTTTAATTTTCGAAAGAGTTTTAGGGCACTTGCAACACAATAAGGTCAGAATAAGTGCCGATGAATTGATGAGTTACAAGAGAGTAACATACACAAAAAAGAAGGAGGAGAGATAAGGACGATTGATGTTCGATAGGAAAGAAGGAGCAAACCACACCAGAGCAACCACCAACCACCCACGTCAGATAGAACGTTGTGGCTCTACGGTAGCGCGTGGCCATACATCGTTCTCGTAACGCCTCCTGGAGCTCTTTGATTTGACGAAAGGCGGCCTTTGTGTCGTAATTAGACACGCTACTTAAGAAGTCGAACGTGTTGCTGAATTAAATAGGCAGGAACCGTTACCTTTCACTTCCACTCATAAATAAATATAAATAAATAAATAAATTGCATTTATATAGATTTATATAGCGTATTTCCACAAAGAAGTGCTCAATGCGCTGTACAATAATACTAAGAACATATTATTATGCAGCACACAGCTCCTATAGTAATGCTCCTACTCCCTCCCTCTCTCTCTCTCCCTCCCTCCCTCTTTCTCTCTCTCTCTCTCTCTCTCTCTCTCTCTCTCTCTCTCTCTCTCTCTCTCTCTCTCTCTCTGTGTGGGTGTGTGTGTGTGCGTGTGTGTGTGTGTGTGTGTGTGTGTGTGTGTGTGTGTGTGTGTGTGTGTGTGTGTGTGTGTGTGTTTCATTTGTGGTACTGTGTGTTCAGTAACCTCATTGCAGTTGGTACGAATGAATTTCTATATCTGTCTGTTCTTGCTTTTTTGGAAATGTATCGTTTACTGCGGATCGAATAGTTGAAATTCCGATGTCAGTGGGTGGCTATGGTCACTAAGCATTACTTCCGCCCTTTTTAGAACGTTTGTCTTGTGCAGATATTCAAAGTTACTTAGGTCTCTACCAATTGTTCTTGATGCCTTTCTTATCAACTTGTTTATTTTTATGATGTGCTGCCTTCCCAAATCTAGTGTATTTAGTGACCGAGAAAGCGTTGAAAGGGACGTTAAACCAGTACAATTTCCTATTTCACAGCACATACTTCAGAGTATCAGCTCTACCATCACCGTCCCTCTGGTCACGTGCGTCTACTTCTGCGCTGGTGACCTTGACCTAGTTAAGTCAGAGGTCACGTCCACCTTCCTGTTCATGTGTGGAGTCAGCACCATCCTGCAGTGTCTGTTTGGCGTCCGGTGAGTGGCCAAGGTAAAAAAAAAAAAGTAGATCTAAAGTTGTCCCCGCATCCGATCCGGACATCGGGAATTGCCAAAAAAGTAGCCTTCAAGGTGTCCGTGGCGTCGGTGGCCTAGGGGTTAGGCGACTGGATTCATTCGTAATCGTGAGGTTGCGGGAACGGGGGTTCGAGCCGCGGGCCCGACGTTGTGTCCTTGGGAAAGACACTTTACAAGAATTTTCCTCACTCCACCCAGGTGGAAATGGGTACCCGGTCATATACAGCGAAAGATCTTGTCAGTATGTTAGTGTTTTAGCGCCTATAAATGGCTGCTTGCACTGTATCCTTCCTAGGAAGTTGAGTGTGTTTCAGAATGCTCTCAGGTCTGCTGAGGTAATAGTATAGATTGTGAAGCGCATAGAGCTTGCTGTTGAGCGGAGATTTGCGCTATACATATGCTATCGATTTTTATAAACTGGGATTTATGACACGCAGGTATACGCTTCTACTTTTAGACCTGCTCCATGACTCAATTCTCGGGTCCAGCAGTGAAGTGGTTAAAGGTAAAGTAAAGTTGTTCCCGCATCCGATCCGGACATTGGGGATTGCCTTGTTAGTGAGACAACTTCCTGGGCCTTCGGCATATTGTGGTAGGGTGGCCAGTTCCTTTCCATGCCGCCTTTACTTCCCCAACTCGAAGTCAGGTACCCATTACTGCTGGGTGGGCAGGAGGGGGCGAAAAAATGCGTGTCCGAACCGAGACTCGAACCCGGACTTTCCGCTTCGGAGATGAGCGCACTAACCGCTCCGCCACCGCACCCTCTGAGAGGTCAAGGTAGCCTACAATAGAATACATTTCGACTCCTCTCCTCCCCCTCTCCTCTTTTCCCCATTTTTAAATGAATTCGTAAAAGAAGTTGAAAGCCGGCTCATTAAATGACGTCATGGCTACAAACCGCTATCGCAGAATTACAAAGTTCTATCTGCTCAGTTAGTACCAAGGTTTGAGAAATTTGACGTCAAAATTGTTGAGTTTCATCGTATTTTTTCAAGCTTTTTCGAAAGCAATTCTTTGAATATCTTGATAATGACTGGAAAAATCTTACGATTTTGATAGAGCAGATGGAACATTTGATTTTTGACCTCTTAGTCTTAGTAACTCAAAATGGCCAAGACTCTCAGATAGAACTTTGTACTTCAGAGGTAACGATGTGGCGCCACAAAGACTGGAGACCGGCACACACTATTCGGAGACGACTCCGGCGAGCACCCAGGAACTATTCGGAGACGCATTCCCGCTCACAGATGCACTGCTTTGGGGGATCAAACTGCGTATTATTTGCAACAGATCACGCATATAGCCACTAAAGCATTCGCTAATCAACTATTTTCAAGAAAATGTCCAGCTTAACTGCAAAATATCAAATTATGGGTTTAAACAGTGGCGTGTGCCCCCCTGTAACCCCTCAGATTTTTTTACTTGGTCTAGTCTAGAGGCACAAAGCATTTTGATTGGTCTATCTCCGTTGGAGACGTCTCCGAATAGATACTGCGTGGAGACTATCTATCTATCTATCTATTTTTCTATCTATCTATCTATGTATTATTCACTTAGTACGTATAATATTTTGGGGCTCAAGTAGATAGGAGAATAGTGAGTTTAGACTCCAGTAATTCCAAGTGGGAAATCGGTGACACGGGGATCAGATGGGTGGTCACTGTGGTGTGTCCTTGAGCAAGACACGACAACCCTAGCTCAAAATACAAGGCGCTGCACTGTGGTGACCGACAGTGGCATGGTTGTAAACTGTTCTGTATTTGTGTAATATTGTGTATTGATGTACGTATTTGTGCATGTATTTATGTATGTACGTATTTAAAATAATGTATTTATAATTATGTATTTATAATTATGTATTTATCTATGTAAATGTATGTTTACCATTGCAAACCAAAGTGCCCTTCTGGGACTAATAAAAGTGTAATTTATAATTATATATTTTATGTATATCTCTTTTCCTGTCCAGGTTGTCAATTCTGCAAGGAGGCTGTCACAAATTCCTGCCTGCCATCGGTGCTCTCATGAGTGTTGACATTTGGAAGTGTCCGGATATGGGTGGGTACTAGTTTGTCTATCTGTCTGTTTGATTGTTTGTTTTTTGTCCGTCTGCCTATCTATCTATCTATGTATCTATCTATCTATGTATCTATCTATCTATCTATCTATCTATCTATTTATCTATCTATCTATCTATCTATCTATCTATCTATCTATCTACCTATCTTTATCATCATCATCATCATCATCATCATCATCATCATCATCATCATCATCATCATCGACCTGTGTACTTATATTCCAGCGCCCTATCTAGCGGCCAACTCCACACTGGACGCCGGGGACGTCTGGAAGCCCAGGATGAGAGAGGTGAGTTAAAGACAGGTGGAATCCGTTAGCGGGTGCGTGGCGGGTGCTCTGGTGTGGTTTGTTCCTTCTGTCCTACCAAACGCCTTTCGCCTGATCCTTCCTCCTTCATTTCTTTGTTTGTTACTCCCTTGTAACTCCTCTAATCTTCGGTACTTAAATTACCTCATTGTGTTACTCTCTTGTAACATCTCTAATCTTTGGCACTTATATCATATGACCTTATTGTGTTGCGAGTGCCGTAAAACGCCTACTAAAAACTGGAACTCATTGATTGCAATCGTGACTGCTTTACGCTCCCATCGACACATTTTAGATCATCTCAGAGGTAGGCTGCCTCAATCCTGCCTGCCGGGACTAACCCGGACTGTGAGAGACACAATATCCCAGCAGGCAGAAGGCCACGTTCGATTTTTTTTAAATAATAAATAATAAAATAGCTTTTGTATAGCGCGTGTCCCCACTCGAAAGCAAGCTCTATGCGCTCAACACTATATTATTACCCCAGCAGACCATAGAACACTCAGAAACATTCTCAGCTTCTCGGGAAGCATACAGTGCTAGCAGCTGGTTAAGTGCTCAAACACTAACAAACTGACAAGATCTTTCACTGTATATAGCCGGGTACCCATTTTCACCTGGGTGAAGTGGGGAAAATTCGTGTAAAGTGCCTTTCCCAAGGACACAACGTCGGACCCGCAGCTCGAACCCCCGAACCCACAACCTCACGATTACGAGTCCGGTAGCCTAACCACTAGGCCATCAACGCCCTACTCGGAATGGAACCCACGTACAACACCGTCTGGGCCTAGTGGTAAAAAAAAAGCTTACACATTGCACAAGAGGCGTTGTTTAACAGGAGTGTCTTCCAGTCTTTGTTTCAGGCATTACTAACACATGAGTAGATCTAGAACACGAGTAGAACGTATAGAATCTAGAAAAATCTAGAGCCAAATTCAGTAAAATTATAAACTCCTGGTAATGAGTAGAAAAGAAATTTCACAAAAATTACAACTTTCTAACGGCCTCAAGAGAAACATGCCCACCAGTTGGATTTGCAACATGGAAAAGCGGTACTGATTAACCCATACCCCCTTCCCTTCCACCCAACCCTTTTTTCCACCCCACCCCATCCCCACCTCTGCCTTCAACCCCCACCCCCACCCCCACCTCCACAACCCCAACCTCACCACTCCCACCCAACCTCCATCCCCCCTTACACTTCCACCCTCCCCCCTTCCACCCATCCCCCATCCACCCCTCCCCCTTCCACCCAACACCCCCGACCCCCACCACCAGATACAAGGCGGCATCATGCTCGCCTCTGTAGTCCAGGTGCTCCTGGGCTGTACCGGTCTGATCGGCCTCCTGCTCCGCTACATCGGACCCATCACCATCGTGCCCACCATCAGCCTCGTCGGCCTCTCTCTCGTGGGTGTCGCTCTCCGCTTCTGCCAGGCACACTGGGGCATCAGCACTATGTACGTAGCCAAAGAACATTATTACTTACTTTACTTTACTTTTTCATCCTCTGTTGCCGTTAAGCGTCGAGGGGAGATACAATTTACTATGGTAGGCCAGCTCCGCAGCTCTTTCAGTTGTGATGTTATGTTTTCTTAGGGTTTCCTTGACACCTTCGATCCACCTTTTGCGTGGCCTTCCTCTTCCTTTATAGCCTGAGTGCTTGGTGTTGTAGGCTCTAAAGACTGGCTGGTCAGGTGACATGCGTAATAGGTGGCCAAACCATTTTATCCTCTGTCTTTCCGTGTAACGCAGGCAGGACTCTGTGCCGATAGCTGCTCTTACTTCTTCATTTCTCTGCCTGTCTCGTCTTGTGATGTTAAGAACAACATTATTAATATTATAAATATAACTTTCTATCTACAACCTCCTTGGCGTACTCGCTGACGTCTTACTGAGCATTCAGACCAACACTGGAGGACACTTTAGTAAGTGTGTCTTACTATACTATACATATTTCCTACCAACAAACAATGGATGACACTTTATAGCGCGGTGGTCAAAAATTCGTGGGCCAAGTTATCCTCAAATATCTTTATAACGGGCCCATACTTTGCTCAGCAGTTTGTCTCAGTTTGTCTTAACGTAAGAATATTTTTCTACAACAATTGAGGCTAGATTTTAAAACTTTTCTTCATAAATGTTTATAAAATACTACAAACTTTCTTCACGCAGAAAAAAAGAATTGTTCACAGCACTTCCCGCTTCTTGCACACATTTTGTGTTCTCATATGGCCTACGTCACAGCTCACCAATGACACTTTTTAGTGGCAATACTAGTTATAAGAAATTGATTTTTATAGTGAACACTTTTTTGTACTTCAATAAGTTCTCAAAACATGCGTTCAATAAAAATAATCTCGCGATTAGAAAAAAAATTATGGACTTGCTTTTAAAAGCGATATCGTCCCAGCTGTAAACCATTTAAAATCTGTAGAAACCACCCACTAGGATTTTAGTATTTATTAAGGAATTTTTTAGAATAGAGCTAACGGGCCTTTACAAAAATAATATTGATTTGTTAAGACAAATTGATAAAAGTCCCTGTGCAAAAGCTGGAGAGTTTATGTTTGATAGTTGAGGAGATATTTCACGATAAGTCGCGCCACGAATTTTTGACCGCACTAAGGTAATTATGTCTTCCTATACATATTATTTCCTAACCAACAAATATTTGCCAGTGGTGTCTCAACATCAGAGATAACTTGTCAGAAAGTGATTTTTTTAAAAAGCCCCTCGTAAAATCACCTATCCTTGAGTATGTGCTTTAACTTGCTCTGAGAGAAGCAATACTTAAAGATAACATGCTGTGCTGGGCACAGAGAACAAAAGCAAGAATAAACCTCCTGACATAGGTCGTTATCAAGAATTCTTGACATGGATGTTCTCAGCAGTGTAGATAACCCCAAAAGTGTTGATGTTGTCATTGTTGTTGTCATTGTTGTTGTCGTTGTTGTTGTTGTTGTTGTTGTCATTGTTATTGTTGTTGTTGCTTTTGTTATTGTCATTGTTGTTGTTGCTGCTGTTTTTGCTGCTGTTATTGTTGTTTTGCTGTGGAGGGTTTTGTAACTCGTTCAGAACGTAACCGACACATAATGTCTGACCAGCGCAGTGTTGTGGCATATTAAAGTAAACTTGTTCCCGCATCCGATCCGGACATTGGGGATTGCCTTGTTAGTGAGACAACTTCCTGGGCCTTCGACAGTTAAATGGTTCGGACGTTTTAGACGGCCAAAGTGACGGACTTTCACTAATATAATATGTATAGATAATCGATTCTGTTGGTTGTGGCAGGACGATTGCTCTTCTGCTGCTGTTCTCCCAGTACCTGCCCAACCTTAACGTGCCTGTGCCGTCGTGGAGAAAGGACAAAGGATGTCACGTGGCCAAACTGCCCATTTTCAAACTGATGCCTGTGAGTCTAACACTGTCGAACGTGTTGTTTAACAAAATTGTACAAATACATATATATATTCTCTCTCTCTCTCTCTCTCTCTCTCTCTCTCTCTCTCTCTCTCTCTCTCTGTCGGAACTTTGAGTGACTTTTACGTTTCCCTGTACACCAACGTCCAGAGTCCAGAGTGATCGTTTCAGTTGTTTGACCACATTTTATGGGGTGTTCAGCGTCACCCCGAGACCTTGTCCGACTGGCTGGAACATTTGGTTAATTATTTAAAAAGCGACATAATTTAAACACAGGCCAATGGGCAATATGTGACTTCCCATTCCCTCCCCCTTCTTTCACTGTCCCCATCGTTCACTCCCTGTCTCTCACTCTCTCTCTCTCTCT